ACACTTCTAGAGTAAGATTGTCCAGGCATTGTTGATTTTCATAGGAAAATGCTAATGAGTATTTACTATCTTGATCTGAAAGACACAATTATAAAAGCAGAATATGAATATAGAATGCCAAAACTATGCCATCTTAGCACAGAAATTAAAATAAGATAGAGGTTTGGCACCACAGGGAGTAGGGATAAATATTTTATTTAGGGCCTTAAGGTCCTAAACAAATGTGTACCCTGACACGCTGAATCTCTTGACTGGGAGAATCAGAGTATTGCCAGGACTGGTGCATGATATAATTTATTTTTTCTCTACTAGACATTTAACTGCTGGCTTTTGTCCTTTTCCTTTTGGTTTTATGGGTTGATTAGATACATGATGGGTTCAAGTAGATCAATTAAAGATATGATGGGTTCTACTCCAATAAATCTGCTAATGTCAGTAGATATTTCTTTCTGCCTACAAAGAGTTGACACCTGCTGGAGATCTCCAATTTGGGCTTGATTTGAGCCCAGGGATACCAATGAACCAGTATCCAAATTAGGTATGATATGATTCTGAATGGATTAATCTTCGGTGGTGTTGAGAGAAAGGCCATCAGAAGACCATTAAATATATTTACATGGAACATCCCAGCCTGTTAAATTAATGACTGTGCTGTCACAAAGGAGGAAGTAATGTTAAATATTAGAAAAGCCGTAGATTGACATATTTATGTCTGGATTTTTAAAGGAAGCACTGATGCTATTTTTTAATATTTAGAGAAATTTGTCTTATTAACCATAAGAATAAAATGGGAAATCACTCACTTATTTACCCCATAGATCAGTATTGACTACCTCTGATGGCAACCTTTGAAAGGATTTATCTTTTAGTGCAGAAAATCAGTTTTTCTGCTGTTTTTTCTGAATGTTTTTAGATTGTGTTTTTGGCTTACAGTTTTCTGCCAATGTCTTTATTTAGGAAGGTTCTTACTCTGGTGCTTGATAAATTGGGTGGACATATTCAGTTCTTTTACCTGTAAGGATGTTCATTTATTCTGAGTCTCATGCTGCTTTTATTCCAAGGCTTTTTCAAAATATTTAGTACAAAATTGTAGTTCCATCTGTCAATGAGGCCATTTTATACTCCAGTTTTTCTTCACTTTGGCAAAAGTTTTTGCAAAAAGGGAGGAGACAGTTCAGCTTCCCCCTTTATAAAGAACTATTCCTGAGTATTTTCTGAAAGGGTTTAAGACCTTAATCGTAAAGTTTCCAAGGGACTCATCCTTTCTTTTTATAAAGTTGGATAATAATCCAAATTATTTTCATAGGAAAATTAAAAATAAAAACTTAGGGATAGCCTCCAAAATATTTTCTTCACTATGTACAGCTTTGCTAAACACTGCTGTGTTTCTGTAAATTTAGAATCCTTAAGTCTTCCTTCACTTTCACCAAATTCAGGATTATCCCAAATCTGTACTCTTATCAATATTTTTTTAACATCTAGTTTTCTTACTAACATAGGAAGCATTTATATAGATCTGGGAACCTTAGCCTACATGTTATTAGAACTATTTTAAATTCTTCTATAAAGTTCTATGTACCTTGTCCAGACAAGATTTATAGTTCAGATTGAGATGAGGGCTATAAATAAGCTGTAAGAAGCTTGTCCATTTCTAAACTGTATTTAACTTTAAGAGGCAATTGAGATTTGTGAATTTCAGGCTGACCACGAAGCAGGGGGCTCCAGGTAAGAAAAGAGGATGAAGGCAGAGGGTAAAGAGGAGCAGAGAATAAAGGGAGATGAAGAGTAGGAGAAAGGCCATTAGGATTCAAGAGGAATTTTAGAACCTTTCTGGTCTGACACTCCTCTCAAATTAATAATTTTTCTTGTGTGAATATTTAAAATATCCCTTATTTTTAAATTATTCTTAATTGAATTACCTCTTTGTTTTGTTTGTTTTTATTGTTGGGGATTCATTGAGGGTATAAGAAACCAGTTTACACTGATTGTATTTCTTAGGTAAATTCCCTCTGACAAGTCTGTCTTGCTCCGTCAAGGTGTGTCACACACCAAGACCCACCCCCTCCCTCCTTCCCTCCCTGTGCCTTTCCTTTCCCCCACCACCTCCCTCCTTCTCTTTCTCTCTGCTCTCCTCTTGCCCCACACCCCAGCATGTACTAGCTCAATAATTGTCCTCATATCAAAATTGAGTACATAGGATTCATGCTCCTCTATTCTTATGATGCTTTACGAGAATAATGTGTTCCACTTCCATCCAGGTTAATACAAAGGATGTAAAGTCTCATTCTTTTTTAAGGCTGAATAGTATTCCATGGTGTACATATAACACAGATTGTTAATCCATTCCTGGGTTGGTGGGCATTTAGGCTGTTTCCACATTTTGGCAATTATAAATAGAGCTGCAATAAACAGTCTAGTACAAGTGTCCTTATGATAAAATGATTTTTTTTCCTTCTGGGTAGATACCCAGTAATGGAATTGTAGGATCAAATGGGAGGTCTAGCTTAAGTTCTTTGAGGGTTCTCCATACTTCCCTCAAAAAAGGTTGTATTAGTTTATAGTCCCCCGAGCAGTGTAAAAGTGTTCCTTTTTCTTCACATCCATGTCAACATCTGCAGTTTTGAGATTTTGTGATATGAGCCATTCTGGGGTTAGATGGTATCTCAGGGTGGTTTTGATTTGCATTTCTCAAATAATTAGGGACAATGAACATTTTTTCAATTTGAGTTCTCTATAGATCCTAGTTATCAAGCTTTTGTCTGATTCAAAATATGCACATATTCTTTCCCATTGTGCAGGTTGTCCATTTGCTTTGGTTGTTGTCTCCTTAGCTGTATAGAAGCTTTTCAGTTGCATTAAGTCCCATTTAAATTAACCCTTTATAATAGTCATGTTAATCAGATTTATATACATAAATACATCTATGAGACCAGGGTCCAGCATTAAAACGGCATAAATTTAGACTCAGAATGAGGCAAAGCTGTGAGAATCAAGCAATGGGTAGTAGAAAGTGAAAGTTTTGCACATTGTTTCTCAGGTTTCCAAGTTAATGGGTTTGTAAGATCTTGGCGCCCCAAATCTATCTTTGGTGAGCAGAAACTTTTTCATGGAAGATTTGATGTAGAACCTGACACTCAGACTAAACAAGGTAAAAATGGGGAACATCCACATAAGGCTCTTTAGTAACCTCAGGAACATTTGTCCAAATGGGAGCTACGTTTGAAATTCACCTGCCGCAGAGATGACTCTAGGACACAACTGATCAGTGTTGCGGTCTGGCCTCTGTCCTATAAGCTTCTTAGTAGACTAATAAAAATGATGGAGAAAGAAGTAGATAATGAATAATTTAGTAATAAAGCAGATTTTCATCAAGCACTAAAATCTTCAAGTCTGATGGAATAACAAAAGGACCCCTAAAATAGATACAATTTCCTAGCAGACAAAATAAAATCAGCATTTGAGAACCAACAAAAACAAATTAAAATTCAAACTTAACATCAGTGGTTAGACCCTACGATCACAGTAGAAGAGATTTCCTCAAAGAGTTCCCAGTGAACATTGTATTTCCAAGTCAAGGATCTTTGGCCACATGACAGAGAAGATCTGAAATGGACCAGGGTAATTACAGTTCATTGATCTGTTTATATGAAGTCAAGATTGGACAACATAGTTGTAAACTCATCCTAGGAAAAATGTTACATACCTCACTGTCCAATAGCTTTTCAGTCAATTTTGAAGTACTTCCGTCAGGAATCTATACATTGACACCTGCACTAGTCCATCCTTCTGGAATGGCCACAAGTGCTGTTGTCATAAGAGGTTGGACAATTAAGTCTGTGAACTCACTCTAGAATGGGCTACTAATAGCTAATACACATATGGCACTTACTGTGCACCAAATATCGCTTTATGTGCCTTATAACTACATTGATTCTTATAGCAATTTTATAAGGTAAATACTCATCACTTTGTGCCTCAGCTTCCTTATTTGTGAAAACGTATAATAATTTTCCCAAAACAAAGTGGGAGGAAGCCATGTTGGGATTCAAATCCAGGAAAACTATTCCTAGCTGTCTTCTCTTCAACTATAAACTGTGAATGATTTCTACTTTTCTGAAATTTTGAAAGGTTTAATAATAGAGCTAGTTCACAAAAAACATAAATGAACTCTGGTCCCATAGAGCTGCAGTCGCCAAACCCCAGGCCGCTGAGCAGTGGTCTGTGGCCTGTTGGAAATGGGCACTCATAGCAGGAGGTGAGCAGTGGGTAGGCAGTGAAGTTTCTGTATTTACAGCTACCTGGTTACTCACATCGCTGCCTGAGCTCAGCCACCTGTCAGATCAGCCAGTGGTGGCATTAGATTTTCATAGGAGTCAAACCCTACTGTTAACTGTAAACTGCACACACGAGGGATCTAGGTTCCTGCTCCTTAGGAGAATCCAATGATGGACGATGAAAGGAGCCGAGGGGGTGATGCTAGCACTGAGGAGCAGCATAAATGTGGATTATTACCCGGAAGGCTGGACTGCACAGAGGCCATAAAAATCAATTGTTTGCAGACATATATCAAAACCATCACACCCATCTTCTCCTCACCCAGTCTGTGGAAAGACTCTCTTTTTTGAAACTGGTCCCTGGTGCCAAACACACTGGAGACAACTGCTGTAGAGAATAGATGAGGGAACATAACTGAAGGGAGGAGCTGAACAAATACCCAACATTGCATTTATACCTAAATCTTCAGAAGGTTTTAGAATACATCTAACTGTAAAGTAGCAGCATTCTGGGGACCTGGGGGAGAGTAACAGTGGGAGTCAAAGTCACCTAGTTACATAGGTCCTTGAGTGATTTAGTTGATGCTCTAATTGAAATGGCTGAAAGGTGGGCTCAAATGATATTTTCAAATTGTATTGGCATGTTTTTATTGTATATATTTTTTCCTTAATAATGTGTCAGATAGGACTTAAGTTCTACAGAAATTTTTAAAAAATTGAGTTTCTGTGCTCACTTCGGCAGCACATATACTAAAATTGGAATGCTACAGACCTTAACATGGCCCCTTAACAGGGATGACATGGAAATTCGTGAAACATTCCATATTTTTTTCTGAATGTATTTATCTTTGTTCATTCTTTACGAGGTTTTTGTTTCTTGTCCTTATCTTAAACATTGTTATTGTTATTACATTTTAAGCCTTTTTAAATTTTGTGAAGGCAAAAAGTGGAACCCTAATAAATACATGTATATGTAAAAGAAAAAAAATTGAGTTTCTAATTTCCATTTATGGCTACAGCTTAACTCAAATTTCTTTTTTAAGATTCAAAATATATAGCCAGGTGTGGCGGGCTTCTGTAGTCCCAAATATTCAGAGGGCGAGGCAAGGAGATTGCTTGAGCTCCAAAGTTTGAGGTCTCTGTGAAGTAGGACGTCCCGGCACTACCCAGGGCACAGAGTGAGTCTCTGTCTTAAAGAAAAGAATAAATAAATAAATAAACAAGATTCCAAATGCACTAGATTCTTCTACGAGAGCATAGTATTTTTGAGATGGCTGTAATGAAAATACTAAAGGAGGTTCTCAACAAAAAGGATAAAATTTAAAAAATAGACTAAAGAAAACATAGCGAATGCATAGTTATCAAAGTGAAAGAAAAGCGTATGTATTAGTCAGAATTTGGGGGCATTGTAGAACAATGTAAAAATTTCCTTTTGGTGGCTAGATTATCTAATGTCTAGGTATTTGTTTTTGTCATATTTTGCTGCTTTTGCCATCTTCCCGTTGGGCTAGCTTATTTCATTTTAATATGCTCCCTTCCTGTTCTGATTCATGAATGTTTGTTTAATCTAATCATGCCCGAAGCATCCATATCTTAAAAATTAGCTGATAGGTTACATTTAATTTGTAGATTAACATCCCCTTTATTTAGTTTAGTGCCTCTTGTTTTTGTGCAGAGGCAACGTAAATCTCTTGATTCAATATGGATGCAAATTTCTCCCCACTGCCTCCTTTTATTTGTGTGTGCATATGTTATTTTGTCTTTCAGCACAGAGGAGTATTTTCTTGTTTACTATATTTACGATCTTAAATATATTTTAAAGACTCATATTTACTTATCCTGAACCAAGAAAATTTTGAATTTCTATTAAAATATGAATTTAATTGTGCCATCCCACAAAAGTTATAGGCTTCATGTTGATTCCTGTTGATTCAGACATAACAATAATACATTAGAAATAATAGGCCTGAAAATGAATAACAGACTTTTCATATTTTTTGAAAAGAACTCTAGGATAATTTAGCTATCGAACAAAAAGTACTTTATGGAAACTTGATATAGCAAGAAATTTGTCTTTGTATCATATCATTAAGTACTTTTAGGCAAAACAAGCTTTAAATTTTAAGGCTTCATCTCAGTTCATCAAAAATCAAACTGGAACTGTGTAGGACACACACACACAAAGACACAGGAATGAGAAAGATCACTGGCTCAAGAGGAGAATAGCAAAGGAGAGTTTTTCAAATCCGTGTGATGGTTAGTCTAATTGCATACAGACGAATTAACAGAAATGAGGATTGTATTTTGATAGCCACAAATAGTCTTTTTCTAACTAGGGAGCAGTTGTGTGGTGCCAACGGTAAGAAATAACACTGGATTTTCTATGTCAAGGATTTTCATTGACTGGAATTTCAGAAAACTACCCACTCAAAATGCTAATAATAAAAGTAAAACAAAACAAAACTTTTAAGTAAAATGTGATGATAACCTGGAGAAAGAAATGAAATCATTTAGAGATCAGATAAAGTAAGAAACCATGAGTTTGTTGATATAAGAAGACTTTATAATACACATTTGTTCTGGAACATCTATAAATTGCCTATGGTCTAGATTTAAAATTTTAAGATTTTAAAAATTTATAGCAGTTAGGAGATAAAGTCTAGTGCCTCATTAGGTCATAAAACAGTAAGGCAAAAATTTATTAGCCGTAAGTAGGGCCACTGGTACCATGATTTTCAAAGATTCACTTTCCTATAAAGAAAGCAATTCTAAATATGCATGTACTGCACTGCATAGTTTAAAATAAAAATTAACCACAGACTTATGGAAAAAATTAATAAACTACCATAATTGTAGAAGATTTTAACACATTATTGTGAATAATTAGATCAGTAGACCATATCAGTAGGATATAGAATATTTGAAAAATATATTTGAGTCACATATAAAAGGCTACACCCAGCAGTGTCAGGGCCCTGGACTGGCCAGGTCTCAGGCCTGGCTTAGGTAGCTTCCAGGCACGGACCACTAAGCTCCCTTGCTCAGGAACAGTTTCTCTTAGGTGCCTGAGGGCTATCTAGTTTAGCTGGAGAGAGAGAGATTGTGTGTCTTAGAGTAAGTAAAGCAGTCTTCTTAGCATAGCTAGATCTTAGTCTTTAGCAGAGCTTGGTAATCTTCAGCAGAGAGACGCTGTGCTGGCATTCTGCAGACAGGAGAGGAGACAGAGTCAGAGTAAGCGAGTCTTTGATAGACAGTGCACGCTCCTCGACTGCCTTCTCCTCCAGCCTAATAGAAGGCTGATCTTGTGCTGCTCAACACCACAGGTGCAAAGACTGCCAAATCACCACTGCTCTCATCTCGCGAGCTCTCATGCTTGTTAGGCGAGCTAAATCTCCCTCCATGCCCTTTCCACCAAGGTGTTCCGTTATTGGGCTATACAGGTATTTCTTATAACTCTCACCCCTCCGAGCCATAATCTATACAGGCTGCTACACAGCAGTTGTAGAACATACATTGTTTTTACTAAGCCACGAAAATTTGTTAAAGTGGTCATATATGAGGCATTAAAGCAAGTCTCCACAACATTTTAAAAATAATCTATTAGTATAGCCATATTCCCTGACGTCTACACCAATTAGTTAATACTTCAGTAACAGAAATAATGTAAAATAAATAAATTTGTGATTTTTTAAAACTGTCTTTGAGATAGTCCATGGATAAAGAAGGAATAATTAGAGAATAATCATGACTCAATAGCAACCAAAATACATTTTCAAAACTTTGATAATGTAGTTCTAAAGCACGTAGAGGTTAATTTATGGTTGATTTAGAGTCTTAAATGATTATATTTGAAAAGCAAAAAGGCAGAAAATCAGTAAACTAAGTGTTCCTCTGAAATAATGTATTTGTTTATATCATTAAAAGAGAACACATACAAAAGAAAATAAATCAAAAATCATAAAATACCAAAATAACAGAATCCACAAAATTGAAGATTATTTCTTTGACCAATATTATGATAAAAATCAAGAAGAAAAATAGAGAAAGACAGAAGCCAAATAAACAATATTAAAACTCATGTAAGAGAGATGACAGTTACAGGGGAGAATAAGATGTTTTTAATAAAAGATTATGTAAAAAATAAATGCTAGTAAATTGAAAGCAAAGCAGATATGCTCCTAGAAATACATTTAACTGTAAACATATATACCTGACAAAACAGAAAATCTGAACTCTTGAGCCAACAATGATAATGTCTATACACAGAAAACTCCAGGCCAGCAGTCCTCAACCTGTGGGTTGTGACCCCTTTGGGAGTCTCCTGCGTATCAGATATTTACATTACTATTCATAACAGTAGCAAAATTAAAGTTATAACGTAGCAACAAAAATAATTTTATGGTTGGGGGTTACCACAACATGAGGAACTATATTAAGTGGTTGCCGCATTAGGAAGGTTGAGAACCACAGCCCCAGATACACACAGCTTTACAAAGATTCGTAAAGACATCTAGAAAAGAGAAAATTTTAATACAATGTTCTCTAAATTTGAAAAACACCAGAAAATATTGTCATAAAAACCAAAAGAAGTAGGAGAAAGGGAAAATACAGACCAGTTTCACTCACATAAAGAGTGATAAAAAGAATTTCTAACAAATTATTAACAAATGGCATCTAGCAATGAAAAATAAAAATGTAATTGAGACCAAACTTGGTTTATTCTGGGCACACAGTTATTGTTTGAGTTTATTATTTTGTGTAGATATCTACTTACAAGTTAAGAAAGTTCTGTTCTATCTTATTTGAGAATACTTTTTCTTCCTTAATTGGTTAATTCAATAGCTATGGTGAATATTTTTGAAATGTTTTAGCCACTGTTCAAAACTACACACAAAAAGACAAAAGATGATCTTAAATAAGAAAAGAAATCTGTTAGCTCAAAAATAGATATCTACAAAAGTCGAAAGTATCACAATATTTAAAAATAAATCTGTACAATAATTATCTTTAGAGTCAGGAGTAGATTAATGAAATTCAGTATATATATACCTTGGAGTACTACTCAGCCATATAAAAGGATTACTTAAGGCCTGTCACAGCAATTTTGATGGACCTGGAACCTGTAACTCAAAGTAATGTATCACAGGAATGGAAAAGTGAATGCCGGCTCGGCGTCTATAGCTCAACCGGCTAAGGCGCCAGCCATGTACACCTAAGGTGGTGGGTTTGAATCCCCAGCCCGGACCCGCCAAACAACAATGACGGCTGCAACCAAAAAATAGCCGGG